ACGAGGTAGTGGGTAATAGACAGGTAGGCACCTTGTCAACATACACATCAAGCGCAACCATACCAGGGATATCAAACAACACCCATTCACTTTAAACGACAAGCTGAAATAAAATAAATCCAATAATGCATACAGATACGGTGGTATAACTCTTCGCTAAATTACCATATGAAGTAATTCGGTTAGCAACAAATCCGTGATAAGTAAGACATCCACAATTTACTTAAAATGCTACAAACGCAACAAAATTACCGAAGATAAGCGCAATTAGTGTAAGCAACATGGCCAGTTAATAGAACATTATTCATGGAGGCAGAACAAACCAAATAAATCGGAATGAAATTTATCCAGCTTAAAAAGACGTAGTTGAAGTGTAAGTTGGTTTAGCCCAACTGCGGTGAAGAAGCATCAAGAATGCAACATCAGCCTCAGCATGGGGCACGCGTTGCCGTTTAAACAGTACAGTAGCCACATGATCTGTCTTGGCCACCAACACTAATTGCTTGTACACACTGCGCTCACGCCGGAAGTACTGGGACTGCGATCCACCAATGGCCGTCTACTGAGCCGAATGTTGCTTGATCTCCGGGTCGAAACTGTACACGCAAATCTTATCACCAAACAGGATTGCAACGTCTACCATCAAACGTGGCAAGCATGATGCGGCCCCAATTGGCACGAGCTGCTTTCTAGTCCTCATTGCCTTGTCGGGGTAGCCACATGCGCAAAACTTTTTGAGGCTGAAATTCTCATGTAGGATGGTGCGGATTGATCCTGCTGATCCTGATTGCTTTTCCCAGCTGTGCCAGAGTCACCCGCGCGTCCTCCTAAAGCACCGCTTGTACAACAGCAATGTTGTCTGCGGTGGTGGCCTTCACAGATCGCCTACATGTTGACTCATCATCAAGGAAGCACGAGATCGGATATACATATGTATTAATTTGGATATTATGGTCCGTCCACAGATGCGCGTTTCACTTAAGTGCAACTGTTTCGCTGAACTTATACAAGTCACACAAACCATTCCACGGTATCTGTCAAGTTTTAGTTGTTTTATTGCTCCAACTACAAACATCATAGCATAACAACAATCTCAGCTAAGCAGTTAAGCATCAATGATTTGGAAAACTCATTATGGTTGACGATTCCGGTCTATGATCTTCTACTGGACTGCATTTATAAGGCTCCTGATGCCACACTCCATGAATCGCAACATTAACGCTGTTTCTGACACAACATTCAAGTACAAATTATTGTGTGCAAATTTCAATCTGCCATATGTAAACTGGATGTCACATATGGCTACAACAACTGAAGCATTTGCGGAAATTACCCAATGTGTCTGTAATCATGGTTGGACTCAGCATGTTAGGCAGCCTACCAGGTTAGACAACCTCTTAGATCCGGTTTTCACCATAGGCATTTTCTCTGTTTACCTATTAATTGATGACCCAGTAACAGGATGTGCTCAACCTATAGTGCTCTGCAGCATGGATATCAGGCTATGTGCAAAGTGCAGAGCAGGGAAGAGGCCAGTATCCTACTACACCTTACTGATTAGAGCACGTTTGATAATCTGCTTCGGACCATGAACTGGGACCTATTCTTTTCCACATTAGATTTGGCCATAGCCGCTGGTTATTACGAGAAAGATATCATCATATGTACGGACATTCTAGCACCTACGTTGAAGGTAAACACATACCCCTTCGATGACGCATACAAACACTCTTCCCGGGTTGCTTCCAGGCTAAAGAAGTTAAGATCCCTGCACGGCAAAAGCAATCATCGCCGCATTAATTCAGTTGCACGAAGACTTAATAAACTTCACACCAAACTCAACCATCTAGAATTGCTGAGGAAACTCGTCATCAAAAATCCAGAGAAAAGTCGTGCCCTGTAACGGCTACTACGAAAACAAAATCCGGAACGACATCACGAAATGCTTGACTGTTTTCAATGACGGTATCGCAACGGATGATATAGTCCAAACGTGTGAATCACTGAATTCTTACTTCAGCACCTCGTTCAATACTACACAATCTGAATCCTCTCTAATTCCAAGTAAACGAAAAAAATACCCTGTACCATCCCACTGAGCCTAAAAGAATTACAGATAGCTATTACATTCATCAAAGCAAAATTCCAACCGGGATCTGATAGTAATCCCTTGCAGCTACAGGGTTAGCTGACGGAAAGGTAACCCTTCTCATGTTGAGCAGTTTCACACTGTCATTAATCACTGCCTACTTCCTGCCACAATGGGAAAATTCCATGGTTATGCCGATATACAAAGACGACCCACGAGAGCACACGTCTAATTATCGGTATTTATACCATGCTTCCGCCCCCGCTAATGCTTTAGAAAAAATCGTCGAGAATCGGGTAACGCAGTTTTTGGCAAGACGGAACTTACTCAGCAGTTCCCAACACGAGTTCACTACCAAACACTCTTGTGTCACTCGCCAAATACAGTTCTCTGATCATGTTACAGCAACAATTGATGGGGGCACGGTGTTAGCATCCTCCTTCTGGATATACAAAAAGCCTCTGACTGTGTACCGCACAAGGCATTGTTGGACGTGGTTGAGTCCTATGGGATCAGTAATCCTCTATTGAGCTGGTTCGAGTCATATCTGAACGACTGAATACAATACGGTTCTACTTTTAGAAATGTCACTAATGGTGTCGTCAGGGGAGTGCATTGTGTCCATTAGCTTTTTATCGACATAAAGGACCTAGTAGATTACATTAGAGATGGAAGCCTATTTTTATTTGTGGGCCATATCAAACTAGTGTACTTATTTCTACCTGACCAACAATACATGGAAGGAAAGCAGGTCAATGAGGAGGTTTTCGGCGGATAAATCTCAGATACTCTGCTACACAGAGGCAGTATCCCAACAGGATTCATCACTCTTACTGGCACCACCATCCCGAAAGAGCACTCCGCTTGAGACTTGGGAATTCGATAATCTAGCGGTTGCAACGCTTCTGAACGTATCCTGCATCAAGTAGCAAAAACGAAACAAATGACATGCTACACCACTACGCCATTTTCACTATCCCAGGCACGACTTGAATCATTTAAAACTTCTACTGTGGCCCAGACTAAAGTACTGCACCAGCATACATAGATATCTACGCAAGACAGAACGGCTTTGGAAAATGTCCAGCGTTCATTTACCACAGTGATCATGGGACGCCCATCAACGCTTACCTTTGAGGAAGGACGTTTGTACCGTCCGCTTGACCCACTCTGTCTTCTACGACTGAAAAGTAATCTCACGCTTCCCCACAGTCTAGTATATTCACGAGTCTCCTCAATCAGCATAAGCATCCTTTCACAAAATGGTTCAACCTATCCCACTCGTAGTGGAAAATGTCTACCATTCTACAGAAGACCAAGCAAATTATTCGCTTGAATTACTTTTTGGTGAGGTACGCCCATCTGTGGAATAAATTACTTTTGTAATTAAGGACCAATGAGAGTCGGTGTACATTAATTCTCATTTACAACTTTCCAGTAATCTACGAATAAACTCATAGCATCAGACCCAAAAAGTATATGGCAAAACTAGCTTTCCAATAATGGTACTTGTTAAATGTTCCACAAAACTGAGCATCACTAAGCCATCTTGAATGCAAGATCATAAATGAACTACCGATGAAACGCGCTGTACAAAAGACTGTTCCACAATAGGGAGCGTAATCCACACGTAAGAAAATGCACGTATTCAGCATGCATGTTTTCATTTGCAATTATTTTTATCCCACGGGACTTGTTAAGCATTGAGTTTTTACCCGGGATATACCATTGCTATTTATCCACACATTCATCTCGGTAGACGCTCAGTAGACGACCCACATATATTTTAAGTTCATCGGATTCATCCCCACTATGTTACGGGAGGTGTCAAGCACTTGGTTTTATCCCGTGATAAATCACTTTGCATTGTTCATTGGCGCTGCCACAAAATATGGCCAACACTACGCCGACATCAGTGGCCAACTAAGACCCGTTTACTGTGGTCTTTCACGTGGTGTGGCCGCGTTCCTGGTTCATGCGGTGACGCAGATCGTAACGCAGCGTCATACAATTTGCTGCAGAACATGTTGAGCACATGAACATTAACCTACTAGGTTCAACCATGTGAAAATGAAATGTAATGGCACTGGTGATACCAAAGCGAATCGCGGACCGTTAAACGAGTTGGCTCCCTCTATGTGTTTCCCGATAAACAATCTGTGGTAGGAAAAAATAAGACGCTGGTGGAGCTCTGCGTAAAGCAGGCAATGGCGGTCTACTTAGTGAACCGGGGCGAGGAATCTATACGAGTAAACAACGTGTAACAGACTGAACGTTATGGGAAATGATCGGATGCAGTACCGTTAGTTTGTAGAAAGAACTGCGTTTATACTACTGAAAGTGGTGACAATAATCTGACCGATTTTCGGTCGGACCCAGGGGGAGAGTGTCTTAGCCCGAAAACCAACTTAGACTTCGACTGATGGAAACGTTAGGTTCCATAGCATCAGTAAATACTTCTGGACCATGGGCTAAATCTGATCATCAAATATTCTCACGAAACTGCCAATCTACTGCGAACTGGTTAGTAGGGATAGAATGCCCTAGTTCGGTAGACTTAGATAGTCAGACTTCAACAAAGACGACATAAGATTCACAAATGCACTGCATCCAATGATGCTTGCGTAGCACACAGCTCAAGGCGATAACTTGGACAAATATAACGGTGACGCACAGATATAGTAAAAACCAATAAAGTGTGTAGATGCAGATGGGTTGCACACGGGTGTCCATGGGGAACTCAAAGATGAGATGAACTGGAGGAGGATGAATGTTCCAACTGACAATGTTACGGTTAGACATCAGGCCACATTCAGTAGGGTGAACAGAAGTGGAGAGAACTGTTTGTTCATGAAGGTATGAAGCATCACTGATCATCACATAGCTCGCTCCTCGCTTCAGTTCATCTTTGACATCAACATGCACCCTACTGCCGGTGGACACATACCTGATAGCTGGTTTACTTGCCGTGCAACAGCCGGGGCTGTGGTGGAGCAGCGCTGGAAGGAGTCACTGGAAGGAGTCCCAGTGGGATGATGACCTCAAGCAAACTTTCACGTGAACGATCAGTGTCCTGTGTAGTGGCTACGGTAAAGAGGCGAGCAGCAAATAAACCAAGAATAAGATACAACTTGCATAATGGCGCAGGTAATCATCAGTCCACAAGCCAGAAAATCACGAGCGCTGGAAGAAGGGAAACCGAGAGCAAATTCAACTCGCTTGTATCATAAGCTAAGGGCCGCATTTAGTGATAAGCGGTGTAAAGTTGTTCCTACGGATGGTGATTTATCCAAAGGAAATCAATATATAATGAAATGAACGCATGTGCCAAAAGGATACCTGGTACTTGAAATCAGCCGAAATGACCGTAAGCATACACGGCACATATGATGTTCGAGTTGAGAAGGCAGCAGGATGAATATTATTCTGGACTAAAATAAAATACATGATAGCGTTGGTGGAGCGATGAGAAGAATCCAGGATTTAGATGAACATAAAGTTAACAGGTCGGTGGCTCAGCTAGCTATTAGAATGTTGAGCGCTAGGTGATCAATTTTTGTTGTCTGTAATTCTAGTGTGCGCAACAACGGCGACGGAGGAACGTAGGTGATTCTAATTCGATCAGAAATCTTATTGGGGATCCCACCACCTCAGTACAGCACCATGCAAAAGTGTATACGTGCGATACGCGGAAGCCTGATGAGAAGTTGCCAACGCTAGAAACGTAAGTTGTTGCTATGTTCGTGCTGTATGTTCGTCACCCATAAACACAGGAGTGGGAAATGCAATCCAGCAAGATAACTCAGACCAAATGAGAACTTGGCTTGAATACTTTACCTGGTACACATGATCTCGATACACCTGGGTGCGATGAAAATGCGATGCAGGTAATACCTCGTAGGCCGACCACACAATAAAAGGGTTCAGACACAAAGAGTTTCTGCCACCACCGAAGTGTACGTCAGCGTGACCGTATTCATCGGTTCTCCGGTGAGCAATCTAGATTATGTCCGACAACCAGGAATAGAATCGGGTGGAGTTACCGGACCTGTTTGTTGCTATTTGCTCGCTTCCCAATTATACTTTGTCATCAATGATGTCACCTACAGAAATAGTAGACGAGAGGGGTCTAGAGAAAACATTATAAGACCCTCATCATTGCAATGCTCGGCAGGAAATGACCTAACTGTGCAGCCACTTTTGTTGGGGTTGATCTTAGCGGTGTACGTGAAGCGCAATTGGTGCTTGAAAATGGCACGTGAGGGTAGGTCGGTCGAACAACACAGAGGTGGTCTGTCGGTTGTGACGAATCCATCGCTGGGCGACAGTGAGATCGTGGCTGCTATGCGATCTCACTCGAAACGAATATGCAAGCGAGGGACTACTAGCGTTACCTCCAAAGCAGAACAGTGTTGTTTGGAATGGGTGATTATGCTCCAGTATGAAACTAGCATTGATAACTTGTCCTACAAATAGCGTGCAGTTGGGCGTAAACACCCCTCGGCGGCTAGATTGCGACAACGCTTACCATTGTAGTGAGTGTGAGTGCGTGAGTACGGTTGACATCGGCTCATTCGGCATGTACATCGAAGAACTATTAGTGTTGCGACCAGACTGGACTCTCATGTGACGGTACTTTCCGCACACTTTCAGAGCCACTCATATTAGAGGGGTCAATAGTTATGAGTAAGGGAAACTCAACCTCAGCATCCTCTTCCTCGGATCTCGACTGGAGGTTGACAACCTCTTTCCCTCAAAACCTATGCGCCAAAAGTAACCTTATACGTGTTGCAAGCTCATATCCACTGAGGTGCATCATGCACAGCACGGACTGTACCCTGCGAGGGCAGCAGCAACTCACCCCGTATGTTCATCGAAGCAACGCTACTGGTAACTATAAGAATATAAATCTAGCATGTCGAAGGTAATCCCAATAAATGGACATTAATTGAATGGGCCTTATGGTAACTATAGACCCAAAGCAAGTATATGCTGTATGAGCCTGGTTGACAGTAGCATAAGTCAAGTGTATTGCAAGGTGGGTCTGCCAACTGCATCGGCAGACGGACATTCTGTCAGCTCCCATATGCACCAGCAATCTGCAATCGCGTTTCTCCCAAATGGTCGTTGTATATACACTTGCCAAGCTTCTCTGTGTAACCCACGGTGTCATCAACACATCCTTTTCAGTCAATGAGGTAATATTCTCTTTTCTCCTTCCCGACAGACTGCGCTTCTTTATAAATACCTCTGCTCTTTTGGTCCTGAATGACCAAAGCATCTCTCGTTTATTCACTGTAAAGTACTCTGTCTTTTGTCTTACAATTTATTCTGAATGACACATTTTTAAAACTTTTCAAGAGGTCAGAAGACTCTTTTTTATACCTACATGCTCAAAATGCTCTCCGTACCGTGTACTCCAATCCTATGGTCTGTGAATGCATGTTATACTGCTCCCCTGTCATTTTCCACGAACATTTTCAGAAGGTTTATACCCTTCTAGTGTGTTAACTGTAATGGATTTCCAGATACTCTGGATTGAGCCAAGAGTCCGTCGTTGGTTCCATTGTTAGCAAGCAATTTAACGCATGCATTAAGTTTTCATCCAAGAGTCTGAACAACCCCTCTCACTCCCTGCACACTAATCTAGGCAGTAGGTTACTATTTCTTCCACGCTGCCGAAATTTAAAGCATTATTTCTCATATACCGTCGTATCGCAGCTCCAACTTGCTTTATCTATCGCGTTTGTTAGTCGACCCAGTAGCAATGATTTATCGATTGCGTGACTGCGTGGTCGATTGAAAATCAGCTGACTTGTTGACTTCGTTACTCTACTTTCCTCCCACTGATAATATATAGTAGCAAATCTGCAGTGTAACTGTGAATTTGTAAAAATGCTCCCACGCGGATGCATTAAACTGAGGGGTCACCAACTGAAACTGGTCACCCAATACAGACGGATATACTTATGTGTTAACGTGGATACTCTGGTGACAACAATGTGTCAGTTCGGAAGACAATCAGCTAATTCAAGTCGTAGAAGTAAGCACGATGCTGCAGTATCAATCAGAGAGCGGACTTGAAACCCGTTAAGAATTCCCATCATAGTTAATAGCTTGACTACTGACTTACAAACGAAGGCTGACATTGAAAATTAGACCTGTCTCGAGGTCTTCGTAGTCTGGCTGGTGGGTTATGTCCACACTATTGAGCACTCCTGGCGGGAGAGCCTATGGTGCTCTGAGGCTGGTGGTGGCTAGATCCTGACAGATGGTCTGCCCACTGCTGCTACTGTTACGCCATAGTCTCATGTCCTGGGCACCTCCTCGTGGCGACCGCTGGGTGGGAGTTAGGTTTCCCCCTTCTCCCTGCTAAGATCCAGGACACCAATCCGCATGAGTCAGTGAACTGACCATGTGCTAGACCCGCTGCCTTTCGGGTGTTCATTTAATCGAAGGCTTTGGCTGAGGACCCGAGTCGTTCTCCTGTCAGGTGTGGGCGCCCTGGCAGTATCCTAGTCCATCCTCTCCGGAGGTTAGGAAGTGGTCGATGGCCCTCTTCCCGTAAAACCTAGCCATGGGAGACAACAGGTCTACGGGTTATAAGCTCACAGCTCGATTGGCGTAGAGCACGAGCGCCACGCATTGTCTCTGACGGTGGGAGGACACCTCCGGGTGTTCAATGGTTTGCTACTGCCCGCCTCAAGCCAGGCAGCCCTTGATCATATTGGTGCAAACCCGTCAAAACCCACCTGCGTCTGGCCGTGGTCGCAGGTGCGTATCCTACTACGGTCGCAAAACATATATAAAACGTTCCAGAAATTCAAAGGCTGCGTGTGACGGCCGTCAAGCAGATCCCAATCTGTCTTTGCAATCACATTCCCGAGCTGGATCTGCTCCCCACTGCCTTGTGGGTCAGGCTATTGAGCCAAAGACTCCGGGTGGAGTCCCTCAAGCAAATCTCCGAAGCACAACGACCATCTCGCGTGCAATTACCCACCAATGCAATCGTATGCCTGCACGCAAAGCACTCAGCATCGGGTGCTGGAACGTGCGCACACTACTGGACCGGAACTCGAGTGAGCGCCCGGAGCGACGCATTGCACTCGTCGCGATGGAGCTGGCGCGCTACAACATCGATATTGCGGCGCTCAGTGAAACCCGGCTCGCTGAGCAAGTTACATGAAGCAGGTGCTGGCTACACATTCTACTGGGTGGGCAACGCCGCCTCAGCACCACGTGAACGTGGGGTCGGGTTTGCAATATCCGATCGCCTCCATGGCCAGCTGGTAGGTGAACCAACGGGCATCAGCGCGCGACTGATGACTGTTCGCCTACGACTCGGAAGAGGTAAGTTTGCTACTTTATAAGCAAGTACGGTCCGACCACGTGTTATCCTGATGACACGCGTGATCAATTCTACACTGAGCTATCCTCCGTGATACGGTCTGTGCCGAGGAGCGATCGACTATTTGTGCTGGGTGGTTTCAACGCGCGCGTTGGGCGTGATGCATCAGCGTGGACAGATGTTATCGGTTCGCATGGCATTGGTTCAGCGAATGCGAACGGTGACAGGCTGCTCTCACTGTGTGCCACTCACGGCCTGACGATCACGAACACTCGGTTTGCACTGTGAGTGATATAGCAACTTAGACGCACCCACGGAGTGGTCACGCTCACCTGCTCGACTATGTCATCGTACGTCAGCGTGATATACGTGAAGTGCGCATGATACGTGTACTGCGTGGAGCTGAGTGCGGCACTGATCACAAATTGCTGCGCACCAAACTGTACATATATTTTCCTAGATCTATGTATTGCACTCACGCCGTGAACCGGTGTAAATCTAACCTTCTCTCCCTCGGTACTGAGGCGAAACGTACTGAGCTGGAGAAGGCGATGGCTGCACGCCTGTGTGGTGTAGAATGCATAGCCACAGTGGGCGACCTGTGGCACCACGTTCGCGACCAGGTGACAGCTGCTGCCGAGGAGACCATCGGGCGCGCAAACTGTAAGCGGCTTGATTGGTTTGACGAGAACAATGCGACGATCGGCGCATTGGTGTCGGAGAAGAATGCAGCTTT